GAGCCTGTGGACCTGCAGAACCCGCACAGACACGCCAACATCCTTAGAAGGATCAGCAACAACGTGGGGCCTGCCAACACTGCATCCGTCACATGTGTCAAAAACCTGCTGTCTCCGGACGTGGCTGAACAGAGTGCTGTGGGACAGAATGCCTTTCATTTGAGATTTTTGTTGTATCTTCTACGAGGTACAAATAGCGGGGCGGGATCTATCCTCACACCTGGCCAGCTGTTGCCCATGTCAGTTCCTGCGCGCTCCCCGGCAAAGTTGCGCAAGACCACATCCAAGGCGCCCGCATCGGGTCAGGGAAGCAGGTGTCAGGGTGAGGGTGGAGACGAACGGGGATGAACGGATGATCAGGAAGGGTTCCCATTCAATTCATCCAAGTGGGAAGATGCGGATCCGAGATAGGAAGAGGAAGACTAGAACTAGATTGAAATGCTCCTTTTCAGCACATGGAAGGAGCGTTTGATCGCGTAATCCTATGCTGTCTATCATGCCAGAAGCACCTTTGTCGGGGCAGCAGAGACTTATGTCGTAACAGATTCCCTGACACTTCGATGGACAGCTGGCTGAAATCAGTATTCTCCAGCTGCTAGTTGTTGCTTATAAGGTCAGGTAATAGTTCTGCGGCAGTGGATAAGTGGCAGAATTCAGCATGCCGCCTTCCCAGGTGAGATGCGAGCTTTGTCGGCCTGAATGGGGGGCTTCTGAGACCTGAAAGACTGAGCAAACGCTTCAAACTGACTAAGCGCAGAAACTGCATGTAGCCTTTTCTGTCAGCTGTAATGGCTCAAGAGTGATGGCGCCCTACAAGGAGACGCCGCGTGGCACCGCTAAGTGGCTTGATATCACTTTTGGAGTCAGCGTTCCTGTTTGTGCACAACACAACAGAAAGTTATTGCATGAGAAGCTGCAACAATGTTATTCAAAAAGATAAGCTGATTCGTAAGTCCACAGTGAAGACGCTGCATCAGACCAGCAAAGGCAACCCTCAGGCAACTCCACAGACTCCAACTTCATGTATGGTAGAGTATAGAGGTGGATCCTTGTGATAATTTGCAAACGGTCCCTACTACTAGTACCGGCATTGCCTCCCTAACCCCCTCCCCAGCACCAGTAAGCACCAGTAAGCTATGCCCAGGCGGGAGACGCGGCCTCCATGCTACTCCAGAAGAAGAAAGGAAAACCTTACAGCAACCTAGCTGGATTATGCAAGGAAGATTTTGTGAACTGCGCTTAGCATCCCTAGAAGTCGCACCCCTACAGGTTTGTGTTTTGCTTTCTGGGTTTGTGAACTAGATCTCTTGTGCCAATCCAAAGCGGTGGTCCACTGCGTTTCTTGCGCCGTTTACTGTTTCTGTGTAAATGTGGGGCTCTTGGGGGCCTGCATGGCAAGGATTTTGACGCCCCATCTTGAGAAGGTATGCGTGGCTGCACTTGCGGCACAAGTTCTATGTACTGTTGGCACAGACATGGCCAGGTCACCGACCGCAGATTAAGCTCGTGCCCACGGTCTTTCAACAGTTACAGGTCCGATGGCGCTTCTAGCCTGCAGGGTGAGCAGGGCACAGCAGTTCACCATATTGCTGCTGCCATTTTCTTTGTTGCTGTTCCTGTCATCTTCATTGTTTGTACCAGGCAATATTACCACCGCCGCCGCCCCTGCCCGCCCCCCCAGCCCCCCCGCCCCCACCCACACTTGACGTTCTGCTACTGCAACTGCTGCTGCAGAAGTCGCAGCATCAACGACAGCGGAAACGACAGCTAATCCTTCTTCCAGCAGCATTGGTGCCGACGACAATGCACAGCAACTCCTGCTGCTGATGCTGCTAATATTACGACTGCTGCTGCTGCTGCTACTACTACTACTACTACTACTACTAAGAATGCTCCAAAAAGCGAAACAAAAGCTCTTGGAAAATGCGCTTGCAAAAAATGCATTTTCAAAATGCAAAAAAAGCTAAAACACATCTTTTGCAGGAAAATCTCCGGATTCCACAAAAGCAAAAAACAACAGCAAAAACAAGCTGCAAATGCTGCAAAACCAATTTTTCTCGCTTTTCAAATTCTGGAAAATTATTCTTTCGTATTTTACAGTGCAAAATGCAAAAACACAGCCTTTTTCACAGAATGCTGGAAAAAAAAAGCTTTTTCTCGCACTTAGAAATTGTGGAAACATAGTTTTTCTGGCATTTTACAATGCAAAATGCAAAAGCAACAGATGCTTTTTAACACCATTCTGCAAATCCTGGAAAAAACGTTTTTTCCTCGCATTTGGAAGTTGTGGCAAACGCATTTTCCAAGAGCTTTTGTTTTGCTTTTTTGCAGCATGTTTAGTCTTTCCAGGGATGAAATGACCTCTGCCATGCAGCCCCGCCATACATAATACTTCTACGACTACTACTACTACTACTACAACAACTACTACTACTATTACTTCTTCGTCTTGTACTGTTATACACTACTTCTGGTCTTCCTGCCAACTTCGATTCCTCCTGCTGCTGCGACTACTACAGCGACGAGCCTAGCTAGCAACGCTGCAGCCGATTTTTGTAGAAACCACCCAAGTATTGGGAGAGGCAGGTTGCGATTATACGAACGCAGCTTTACTCGAACAAGCCCAATGGCTTCAAAGAATTCATGGTGAGTTTTGTGCGTTGCCGAGCTTGATGGGCACATTCCATTTGCAACAGGTTCATGTTTTAAACATCCATCAGGCGCAAATTGGGTGCAAAAAGCTGAGAATCTTGAAAACGCGTCGCGCTTGTGCGTAGTGTTGCAGGTCTTGATTTTGAACCTGCAGGCTCGCAGACTTACCATGCAGCATGCTCAGGAAATCCGTAATTTTCGATTGCGCTTGCGTTGCGTTTCCGTCATTATCCAGCTCAAGGCTCCCCCAACTGCATCCCCCTGCAAATTCAAGACAAGCTTCCAAAATTCACAAGGAAGCGCCGAGCTTGCAACGTGTGCAACCTTCTACCCCTGGCGCTGACACTACCATCACCACCACTAACCACCAAATGCAAATGATAGTTTCCAAAGACAGGGAAGCCAATATAGACCCCAAAATGCTATAATCCTTATAGGGACCCCCAAAATGGTACCCTTAATCTTGGGAAGTGGGAACCGTCTTACACCGTAAACCTTAAATCGTAGCTTCCATGTTCTTTTCCATTATCCCTACATCACCCCCATAAACCCTCACATAAATCCCTGTATAATCACAGTTTCCATGTCGTTGTCCATGCTCTTTTCCATTGATTCTTCATTAGTTAGGGTAATCTACCGTAAACCCAAAAAATCATACCTCCATGGATCCCAAGGAGAGCAGGTTATTGCGCAGAGGCATCTTGATTGCAGATCACTAGCTGTCAAGCTATGGGCCTTGGAGGGTTCACCTGGGGGCCCGTATAGTGAGGGTTATAGTGTGTTGGGGGCTTCTCTTGGGGTTCCCTAAATTCACGGGAAAGTCTCTATTAGTGTCCTCTGTGCTGCAGTTCAGAGTGCCATTCTACGGAGCCTTAAGATGATTTAAGATGCCACTGGACTACCTTGGGGGGAGAATGTGATGCTCATTGATTGGGAAATTGATCGCTTCCCCCTAGCCTCAGCCCCTTAATCAATTGAGCAATGGACATCTCCAATACAGTACTTTCCCTAAATAGGTGAACCCCAATATAAACCCCAAATATGATGATCCTTATTATGAGGACCCCAAAGCGGTACCCGTAACTTATAGGAAACACCCATATGAGGCACATCTGTTATATCATCATGAGGCTGGTGTTTTCCAAATTCTCCGTACCGAGTCATCCAAAAGCGCACCGCAGGAAGCATCCTGCTTCTTCGGCGGGCTTCAATTTGCTAGTGCTCGTCATGATATTGATAAATACAGCTGCTCGGAGAAGTTTCAAGCATGTGTTGGGTGTTTAGGGGGTGTCTTTTGAAGGGTCCTGGATCCCTTTTTGGAAGCTCCCAGATAGGCCGGTTCTTCATTCAGTGGCAGGGCATGCTTGTTTGAGCATAGACGTTTACGTCTAATGTGGGCGGTCCATCAAGACCTTACGGAAGGCATGACGACGGGAAGACTGTAAGTCACTGTAAGTTCTGTTCCAGCTATTTTGCACAACCCGTTATGCAGCAGGAAGGTCTTGGAGGTAGAGGCTTTCGACGCGGCCTCAACTACTAAAGATGATTGGCAGCCCCTTGCGATCCAAAGGATGCTAAGTTGCTACATTTCCAGGGCAGAAGCGCCTTCCAGTATGTCAATTAAAGGAAGCACGGTTTGGGGCTTGGGGTTTGGTGGATGCTCTTCCTGGCTGTGTGCACACATGCAAAACAGGGCTTGGGTGTGGGGTTTGGGAAAACAGGAACCCAGCAAGGTTGTCATCGGGATCGAGGTGGACCTACAGAGAAGCCGCGATCTCGAGGCCAGCAGCGCAGGAAGATCTATCAAAGTAAGTAGGCGAAATGCGGGCTATCTCTGGGATTGTACATTTCGGCCCAGTATTTCTGTTGCGTTCTTGGCAGGATGGGATGGCAAAAAGAACGAGTTGGCACCAGGTAACATCCTAAGGTCCTGTAGTTTGGGTCATTCCCCCCTACGTTGAATGTCCAGAAAAGGGAGGAAGGGGCTACTATAACTCCTTTTGCGTATTGTGGGGGGAACGACATAGACATAGACTTGTGTAAGCCTGACTGGCGACAGCTAGTAGAGCCAGTGCAGGCACTCGTTCGAGACGGTGCCATATTTGAAGGGTAGGAACTGAAGGAATGGAAAAGGAAATGGAAACTATGACATGCTTGGGGCTGTTGCATTCCTCCATTCCCTACCAACAGCCAGCACGTCTCTAGGACTCGGTAGAGGTCCGTTATGCAACATTCTTCAGATTTGGGGCAAGCGTAGTGTAGGCTGGTTGGGGAGAGCCTTTGTCGGCCATACCTTGCTCTCTCCCTCGCCAATCTTGCCACCTAAGGCACGGTCATACTGGTTTGCGATGGAAGCACTGTTTGCCCTTTTCTTTGGAGTGGAAACTCTGCTGCGGATCCATCAGCTGGGCTTGGATTACTTTCTAGATGCTGTGCTGCATTAACGGTCAGGGCCTGCTGCTGCCAACAGCTTGCCATTGAAGACAAGACATAGGGGCTGAACAAAAGTATAGCCCTTTTGGGTCCCCAAACAAATATATGCTCTGTCGGCCATATATGCCCCCAAAGGCTAATGCTTCAGAACAGTCCCCATATCCTAAGGATGCATGGAATGTTTACGACTACACGTTGGTGACCCTCAGCGTCGCGGATGTTGTTGTCCATCGGCTGCAGAGGAAGATGAGCAACCGCCTTTATTGCCGTTTAGGAGCCAAGAGCATGCAGAGATAAAATTCAGGGACATGAGCAAAACCCTAGTAAAGCAATAGGGCCCCCCCAAAAGCGATACCCCCGACATGGATGACAGCAGTGTGCAAAAACCCCGGAAAGCGATAGGCCCCCCAAAGTGATTTTTTACTTAGCTGTTTACTAATAATTTAGGTAGCTGCTCACATGAAGCCCATGTTGTGCTGTGCCCGCAACGTCTAGGTTCCTTGTACAGAGCTGTATGCTTGGGACATGCCACGAGCCTTTGCCCACAGTGTGGCCAGAACTGCATCCTTGGCATCTTTCATGGCAGCGGCGGCGCCATAAAGCGTATGCTGTGACATGCTAATCGAAAGGGGAAGCAAGTCGTGAAAGCCTGCGCACTTCCTTACGATGGCACGGCGCAGAACCCTTTGCAGTAGCAGGTTTATGCAAACTGTTGGGACTAACAGTAACCCCCCCCAATCAATCCTCCTCAGACTATGGAATAGAAGCAGAGTAGCATTTGGGGGGAGGTGATTGTTCCTGTCAACCAGGTCTCCATCACGGTTCCCGGCTCCGGAGGGCTTGGAATTGCCAAAATGCTTCGCATCTGCCGGCTGCTGCGGATCTATCGGTCTATCAAGGGCTTGAAAGCGCTTGCAGGCATGGGCTGATCTTGCGTTAATCTCTTGACCGAATAGAAATCCACTTGCCCAACAACCCGCCCAACAATAGTTAATGTTTGACAAATGAATCTGATGATCATACTTCTGTCAATAGTATTTTATGATGGAGTGCTGGGTTTTTGTTGTGGTTGGGGCAGGGGCATCTCTAGGGATCCTTGGACTCATCCATTCCCCCTTAATAAACTGCACACATGGAGCCAAGCGGGAAGAAACAAAATGAGCAAACTCTCCGATCCCCAAATAATGAATAGCAATTGCTCCAACAGAGTACTTAGGTTAGGGGGAGTATTTGTGATAAGGGGGTGGGGGGGCTAATTATTAGCGAAAGGGATGAAATTGTTTTGGGGGCGTATGGGGTTCCCGAGGAATGCCCAACCCTTAAACCTAATCCATACGCTACATGTCAGGCCTTTGGGTCATCACGCAAGGCATCCTTGATTCGCTTCTAGCTGTTGTACCTTGGCAGGGGTTTGCAGGGTTTATCCAGCAAGTGGTGGTAAAACCTCAAAACCCTTAACCCAAGAGCCTCCAGGAGCGCTCAAAAACAAAACTCTAAAACCCTAAAGTCGAAGGCATGCCGCCAGCTGGTATGACTGCATTTTCCAGGGATCATGCTGTTATTTTTGGTGAGCTGTTACTTGATTGAGTTCGCCTCCAAAGTGAGTGCTCAAATTCGGAAACGGGCAATCAGTCCTTCTGAAATCGGTTCTACATTTTGAGGCTTTATTGGTTCATGTGTAGTCCGGTAGTTCTCGATGGAAAAGGCGATAAATTTATTTTCCGGGTCACACCGAATAGACGACGGCATTCTGAAAGCGACGACTACAACTCTTGTGTTGCAACATGCATCCATATTCATTGTTCTTGTGTTTCTTCCGGTGCCCTTTGAGACCTCAGGCGTCTAACTCTACAAGACAACCGTCAGTATCATGTCAGGAGCTTTGTGTAGATCAGCCGGGTTGAGGGTTTAGGGGACATTTAGGGTCAAGTGCTTTGCAAAACGGCCGTTTAGGGGTCAGTACTGAACAGTTGTGAGCGAGCATGGCTGGTCTCATGTCAGGATTACTCCTGCAAAGACTTTAGGGGGGCCCAGACATGTATTCTCACTTTGAGGATATGCAAGGGTAGGGGGCCACACGGCTACGACAGCTGAGGTTTGGGTGAGTTTTGCTCTCTTTCTTTTCCTGTTTATGTTCGCTGTCCTTGTGACGACCATGGTGGGCCAAGATATCGACATCCGTCGTGCCGCTGGGACGGCGCGACGTGAAGGTTTCCGGCGGTTCGGAGTTAAGGGCTGATCACCAGCGAATTCTTGATTCCTTATGGAAAAAGATCGGACAGAATGAGGATTTTGATTAAGATCTTTTCGGTTTGTTATTAACATCTTGTTTGTTCAGCAGTCGTTCGTTGAATTCTTGTTTCTCGCCTATCTGAGGTATGGAACAGTTTACGAAGTCTTTTTAAGCTGGTTTTGCCCGGGGGAGGGGGAGGGAATCACTGTTTAGGGCCTAGGGTCTGGACCCTCCCCCATACTGATGTTAGGGTTTAGGGTTTAGGGTAGGGACCGCATGAAGGGCAGTAAAAGTACTTGTTGTGGTGAGAAGGTATTGGCGTCAAGTGCCCTTCACTGTGAGCAATGCAAGATTCTGTCACCCAACTGAGAAAAAAGTTCATGGTAAACCCTAAATAGTAGTTTCCATTGTATCTTCCATTATCTCCTATGTAACCTTTATATAACCCCAATATAGGAACTGTCGAGGCATGTAGAGGCGCCAGTGGTTTTGCTCAGGCTTATACCTCACTCTTGCCTATCCCAATTCCATAATGAGTTGACAAGTCACTAGCAAACATGGTAGGCTGGGCCGCTGGTTGAAACGCGAATTATCGAGGACTTGTATACGCAGCCCTCAAGTTCTACGCCTTGTTACACCAATGAACAGGCATACACCAGAAAATGTGTTCTGATTATTGAAGCCTGGGGGACCTTGCAAATCCTGAACGGCCCTCAAAAGCCCAGATCGGTTCTCAGATACAGTACCATCCCAAAAAACAGGTGATGCCTCTCGTTATCTGGGGTTAGTAGGGAACAAGGGAAGATATTCTTTCGGGCTTACAACAGGATTATGTATTCCTCTGTTCCCTGCTATCCACCATTGAGATGAGCTCAGGAGTGGAGTGGTGCTGACCTGTATGTGGGAGGGGTCTGGAAGTCCATGTTGACCATTCTCCAGGCCTCACTCATTTGAGGATGCACAGGGTTTAGCGTATGTTGGTTGTCCAAAAGGAGGTCCCCCTTGAGGATTATGCGAACAGCGTTGTCTTTTGGGAGCCTCCTTTGCTGATTCCGGAGACATGCCCCAAATAGATGTTCCATGTGGTGTCCGTGAGATGGGGCTGTGGTTTGTCTCGGCTTCTTGTGCTTTTGCAGACGTTGAAAGGCACAGGATGGGTTCAAGATGAGGTTCAGGATTTCCGGATCGCGGATGTTTTTTTGGTTTGCGTTTTAGGCTTCATCAGCAGACATGCCGATCCTTTCATGAGAAAGGGCTGTCAGCCAAGCAAAGGCAAAGCCGTCCCAGTACAGGGAAGCGTAATATGCGGAGGCATCTGTCAACAAGCATTGGTATTAAAGACTGCCTGCAATGCAGCATGCGCAGCTGCTGCAATTCCGCTTCGAAAGCTCGAGAAGTCTTTTTTGCGGAAAGCACTTGCGCCAATAGCTGAAACAGGCATTCTGGCCGCTGTGTACTAAAAGGGCACAATTGATGGCTTTCGAGAATTACCACAGCATAGTTTTAGATTCCTGGTATAATTCTACTTCAAACAGACATCAAAAGGATATCGGAAATTCTTTGGGCCCCTCCGTCAATAAAGTAAGCAGTTGCATCCAACAGAAGTCGGCCGCATTCAAACCCGGGGAAAGGTTTTCACGATTGACGCCATTGCGTCGACTCTGGGGCAGCCCTTGATGACCATTTCCCCGATTACTGTGGGACTGCTGGTGTCACTGGGCTGAATCATTACTAGGAGTGTTCCCTTATAATCCTTATGTCAACTATGGAATCGCTACTTCCATCATGTAGGCCTTACATTACCGAAAGGATGCTTTTGATTGCACCATCGAGCGTGGTATTTCATGCATGGCTTTAAATGACCCGAGGATTTCCATCGTTTTTCTAAACTTCGGCTGCATCAACATTCTCGTGGCAGTGATGGTGGAACACATCGTCAACATTGCCACAGAGACGCGCGTGAACTTCGCAAAGGCCATACTAGGAATTCAGAGCATGCAGATGAATGCAGTTCATAACCCTACAGCAAAGGTCAGGCCACTTGCGGTTACTGCTCCTAGGGCCACATGTGGGATGGAGTGTCTCCACCAGGTTGAGCGTTTGCCTTCTTTCAGATGGCATTGATGCACACCACCCGCACTGGTGCCTGCTTCCAGGTCTTGGCCAAAGTCGAGAGCAAGGTTTTCGCTGCAATGTTGGAGGAGTTGACAGAGTATTGCGATGATGGGGATCCAGAGCTGCAAGACTAGAAAGTGTGGCCGCAACATGTCCATAGGCATGCAAGGCATTTGTGGCCCTTTTGCGGACCGACTCTTACGGGCCACCATCTAGATGAAAGTTGTAGCCGCGGGAGTGCGCGGTCTGTACGCTTTCATGTACCAAGAGATATAGCCCCCTTGAGGTAGATAGAATATGGGGTATATGGGGATCTTATCATAATATACCTAAAGCCACATTCTATCTACTTAAGCGCCTAAAGGGGGACTATATGCCTCATCTGCTGTATTCAAGGAAGGTGGTGGGGAGCTGACCTACAAGGACTCCGCTTGGCTTTGGCTTGAAGCGCGCGACTGACTGCACCCAATATAACCCCGCGTATTACTCCAATGGGTACCTAGAGTAGTTTCCATTTTCTTTTCCATGATCCCAATATACTATAATAGGCTGCATTTCATTTTCTATTCTCCCATTTGATCCCCAATATACTGTAGTAGTTTCCAATTTTCTTTTCCATTATCCCAATATTTCCCCAATATAACCCCTAGCTTCTCCTAAAGAAGGGGCATGAGGAAGGCCAAGCTAGCGGCACAGCTTGCCTGCAGACTTCAAAGTGGGGAATGAAGGAATGGAAAAAAATGGAATCTACCATAATGGGTTATATAGAGTTTAGGGTTCAGGAGGAATGGAAAGAAAATGGAAACCGCTATAATGTGTTCTATAGATTATAGATGTTGCCAGGACTTCAAGAAAGTCATCCGGAACAAGACCATGATGGACCCTTGCTTACTTTTCAGTCTTGCGCTGTGCTTTCAATGCAATGACGGCGTGGGCAAGCAGCTGCCAAAACACACATATGGTGCTCACTAACTGGCAGCAAAGCTTGCTATAGGGTGGTCCATGGGGTGCAGGTGAGATAGCCGGTGACAAAGTTATTTGGGGGTAATCCCATTGCCATCCATAAGCCGCCAAGGAGAAGATGAAGCTGCTCAACTTTTGCCCCAGGGCGGCATAGCATTTTTGTATATGTACTTGGAGGGTCAGGGGGATGTAGGAAGTAGGCTAATGATGGGGGAAAATTAGGGTTACTGTTGGGCTATGGGGGTTATTCACCTCCTAAGTCCCCTTGACCCTCCAAGTAGAGACCTTGAGCCAGGGTGTGCGGAAGATCTTGGGGCAGAGCCGCTCCTATTCTAAGTCGTGTTGGGCAGGTTTTGATGAGATGGAGCTCCTTTTCGAGCTCATGGATGCCGACGGGAGCCCGCTGCAGTCATTCAAGTCTCATGTACTGCACTGGGTGTAAGGTGGAGTGACCTCGCGCAAATCCAATCACATGTGACCAAGCCCTAGTCGTCTTCAATGTGCTGCCTCACATTGAATTAGGATGAGAGAGGCAGAGCCACAACGTGTGAAGAAGCGCCCTTTCATTGAATTCCATCAAGCCCTTGCTCGCTTGATTGGACCCACCAATGCAGCACTGCCCGGCCAGAGTGCTTTCGAGCCGTTCCTGCGCGAATTGTGTGCAATAGCCCAGCATATCCCAGCAATATTCCCGTTTAGAGTGACCTTGAAAATGCTGCTGCTACTGCTGCTTGTGGCAGCGGCTGGCAACAGCTGTGCAAAATCGTCCTTCCAGACAGAATAAGGTTCACAACGAAAGAAGCAACAACAGTATTGCGACATGGGGTATATAGTTGACTTACCAAGAGGGCCTCAGATACTGCATTCAGAAATACCCGAACTCATCCATATCTCTGACACAAAACTCTAGGAGACCCTGAAAACATGTCGGCACAATCCCTGTCATACGCCCTGTCTCAGGCTAAGCACTAAATCTTGAAGCAGGACCTTCCTACAAACAATCTTTCTACGTAGATTCAACCTTGAGCCTTTGGCTCTCCCCCTATCTGCGGGCGATAGAGTGCGACTGGTTTTGATAAACCGTTTAAGGTTTAGGGTATCTCCCCAAGCATGTACAAAAAACGTTGTTGTAAGACACCCCGAACCCTGACCCCTAAACCCTCTGCGCCTCCATGTATTTGTGAATACTTCCCTTAAAGTTTAAAGCTTGGTTCAAGAGACACGTCTGAGATACATTACAACATCCGGAGGAGCGGCTCAGTGAGCCCGAAGGAGTTCGTGGCCGGTCTACGAAAGATGAAAGGCGGGAGCTGCAAGGGCAGGCGGTCCCTTTAAAGGTGATTTTTCTTCTCCCCTAATGTGTGGAAGAGATGTAGAGGCAGTTATGTTTATATATCTGTCAGAATCTGTGTAGGCTTTACGATTCTTCAAGCTGATGAGACCCTTTGGGGGGCTCCTTTCTATGAGGCTTTCCATGCCTTCTTTGGCAACTACATACGGGATCCTGTCCAGAGACATTATTCCGATGTTTCGTGACAACGGCAAGGCTGTGGCTCTACAGCATTAGGGCTTAGGGTTTAGGGCTGGATGGTAAGTTGGCCTAAACCCCAAACCTAGTCAGGGTAGCCAGCTTGTTAGCTCGGATTCCTGCTTCAAAAAGCAAATGCACCAGCTAGGAGCAGGGGAAGTGGCCATGGGAACTATTATGAGGAAGCGTCCGTCCCACCCATTCCCAACCAACCCTAACCTCAGCGCTAAGTAACAGGGTCAGCATATATCATTGGCTTTGATTTTCTTCTGCATTTCCCTACCAAATCCTAAGCAGGTAATCTTATAAGCGGTAGTTTCAATGTTCTTTTTCCATTCCTCATAATCCCAGTATACTGACATTAAACACCCCCCCCCCCCTCCCCCCCGAAATACACCTACCAATCAAATGCTCCAAAGAAGAGACCTTCTACTGTATATATGCGGCACATATTGAAGATTAGGCTGTCGGGTGCTTTCGGGTTTTAGGGCAAAAAGGGGTGAATAATAAAACACAAACCCAATATACTAGTAGTTTCCANNTCCATTTTCCTTTCCATTACCCCAATATAACCCCAAATATAACCTCAATATTATCCCATTGGGAACTACTAGATTTATAAGCTTTGAAAGGCCAAGCATTGGGCTCCGATGTGGTGCGGCTCATTGGGCTTGCCCATAAGCAGCTTCTGGGCTCCATAACGAGTTTAGGGTTTAGGGTTACGGGGAGGGGTAAGAAGGGCTGGGGGGTGTGGGGGTCAGGACTTGCAGAGATTGTGGTGTTTGGTGACAGTGGCTTGGAGACAAGGATGTTTGGGACTAAAATGAGGCTTGGGATACATGAAGCTACTGAGCAATTCAGGCAATAAACGGATTGTCTGCGTAAATCCTGAACTCCGAAACACTGCCGAAATTATGGTGACGGGTGCCAGTGCCAGGGAAACCTTCGAGGGCACATCTTTGATTGAAGAAGCAGACTTAAAGGTCTGCGCGGGCTTAAAATGCTGCCAACAAATATTTGTACGGCTACAACATCCGAGAGCGCATGAAAATACCACGCAATCGGCTGAGCAGTGATTTTGGGATGGGGCCCAGTGCGATGTGCTGGTTGGAACCTGCCAACAAACTCAAACCATGAAAGCGGCAAACAGGAAAATGCCTACACCGGCCTTAGCCCGTCCCAAGTCAGCAGATTTTCGCACCTTCGGGGAGTTGATCTGTGTCATCCACTACATTCAGGGTAGGAAGGAGCTTAGGACGCCGACCACGACGACAAACTGAAACTTGTGAGCTTTTCATTGGGTGCAACTCATGCAGTACGCGCCATGTTCAAAATTCTGGGCATGCTGACCGTCACGCACAGTTCTGACGGTTGATTTCACTTTACGATGTTGTACTAAATCATACTGCATGACTCATACTGCATTGTTTTGTATTATACCGTGCTGTATTCAATGTTGTGCTGTTGTATGCTTTTTTGTATGGGCACGCATTTTTAGAGGTGCATGGCGTATAGCTTTGGAGCGCGCTGCTTGATGTGTTCAATCCAGCTCAAGGTTGGGTTGATATCCGGACTCCGGACTATAGGTTACCATAATGTATGTGAGTATATAGTAAATGATAGGATCTCCTTATACGGTTAACTTTAAAGGGGTTCCTTATCAGCACCCCAGGACTTGCTGCTGCCTGTGTGCTTGACACAAAGAAACCAACTCGAGTTGCCTGGTTTTCTCAAAAACTTGTATATGGGAGGCCTGTGGAAGCTTTTCTCAGCATAGGCCTGGAGAGGAGCATCCAAAACACCTATGAGGTCTGGCCGAGCATTGGTGTTCAACAGACGGCTGGCGGTGCTCAACGAGAAGGCATCCCGTTTCTGGCAGTACAAAGCTTGCTGCGTTCCCAGCTGCATGGTCGCGATAGCAGACCGGGCATTTGGAGGGTTCAATACTTGATTGCGTAGGTCGTATGAGTCTCATCTCGTCAGAAGGGGCTGCAAGTAAGTGAGCTAACGTCACGCACGATGAAAGCCTTGCTGCAAGAAGCCCGAAGCAACTGTTGAATGAGCTTGTGTAAGCCAACTTCCCAGCAGCAAGGCCGACATTATTCAAGAGCATCTCGGCAAGCATGAGTTTGCAGCTGGGGCTTCCTGCAGTGTCGATTTGTTTCGCAACCGGGTGCATGCCCTACGGTGTCCTTGCCCAGCCCAAGGAAGATCTCTGAAGAGGCCCCTGCAAGACTCTGGAAACTCGTGTTGGCTCTCTCACCAAACACGCTCTTCCACCTGGGGGTGCTCTTGAAGCCGCACTATGAAGGCATCATAGTTTCAGACACGCTCATTCGTGCCCCTGCATAACCGCCAATATAAGGGTGGCCCCCATCTTTGCTAAGTTAAGTCTTGAACCCCAAATCCCAAAACCCTACACTGTTCTCCCCAGGCACGACTAACGAAACCCCAAATCTGAAACTGAAGGAATGGATCCCTGTAGTTGTTCCTTTATAATGTCCAAGACAGAGTGGATTCCATGGTTTTTCCATCCCCTAAACCTCAAGCCTTAAATTCGAAGCCCAAAACCCTGATGAAAGCCCAGGCGGCTGAACTTCCTCGGCCAGCATTGCTCGGAGGAGCTCATCGAACGAGCGCACAGCGAGGTCTGGGGTCTCCGCTTTAGGGGTTTCAGGGTAAAGGGGTATGATGGGATGCCCTTCAGTCTGGCAGGGTCTGCGGGAATTCAGATGCAAAAAGGATTAGGGGGTTTAGGATTTGGGATTCAGGGCTTAGGGGTTAAGGGTTTCAGGGTGGTTGAAATTTCAGTTGTGCCGGCAGCCGCTCCGGCCCATGCCTCCAAAAAGTTTCAGGGTTTTTGTTGGGTTCAGGGTTTAGCCAGGATTTAGGGTGCTGGTTGAGGGATTTGGACTCATCAGGCACCAGGATACGCCTACTACCCTAAAATAAGATCTATGTAGGTCCTATTTCCGTGTATTTAATGTCTCTAATTAGAAGGTAATTTCTGAGAGAGTCTAGGCAGGTTTAAGGAATGCCTAAGCCAATGTTTAAGCACAAGCAAATCCTACATGAGACTTTTATGTCGCTGGAAGTTTCAGCTGCAGAGTCCCGAGGTCTGAGTGAGCGGTGTTTCCAGGGTTTCTTTTAATTGTTTTGTACTGCCACCACTTTGTAATAGCTGGATAGTAATGGGAATAGAATTATAGATAGGCCTTCATATTACCTCTGCTCTAGACGGTTACTGAGTGAGGACAGTGCCCAAAGTAGAGGAGCCACAGAGCGGAGTCGAGTCACCCGAAAAGCCTTTGCGCTGCATACGTATGGAGATCAAGTAGGACTCAGCGAGGAATGGTACCGAAAGTAGGTTCTGAGTGTCATTTACAGCAATGGAGAGGCTTCCTGCAATTCAAATGAGATGTCGAAGACGTTGTTGGAAAAGCAGGTGTGTAATTTGTTTTAGCTCTGTAGCCCGTGGCTTTCGCTTGCTGACTGCCATCCACCTTTGCGCTGCCTGCGGGGCTACCAGCGAGGTCAGAGGAGCATAGTGAAGAGAAATAGAGGCAGTACTCCGGAGTAGCACCACAAGATGGACAGCTAGTATGAAATGGGACAGACCAACAGAACACGGAGGTGCCACTGAGCGCCCTTGGGTCTTTGGGATGTAAATGGACCAGGTTACAAGGTCGGGCTCATCCTTCTTGAGGATGGAAGCGTGAAGTTTATGTGCATTTTGCGGCCCAACCTTTTTTGAAGCAAGTATTTGGGACCTGAAGAAGTAAAGAACGCTCCAAGCTATCCGAGCTGCATTCAGCCTCCTTGCCAAGGTTCGGCAGGAGAAGGCCTTGGTCGAATCTGCACAAAGGCAGCTGGTGATCATCGAGTGCGATGAGAACCGGCGAACGACTTATCCAGGCAGGGGCCGCTTGTTAGATTTTACTTTTATTTATACCGTTTACATCTCACACTGCGGCACTGCGGCCAGTGCTAAAGAACCATGCGTTGCTTGAGCAAAATTGTGCCTGGGGGTTAGGTGCGCGGCAGACGGGTCTTGTTCTGGCAGAGCTCAGGGGAACGAGACAGGTCGCAGCTTGCTTGATGGGTCTTTATAGCTAACCTGGTCTTTGTGCAGCTAGGTCCATCTTTGTGCTTGCTACGCTGTACTTTGGAGTTTGATCTTTTGTCAAGGGGGAAAGACGCGCCACTGAATCTGGGTCTCAATGCTATCAACGCCTAATGTTGTGAGACTAGAATTTTGCTTAGGCAAGAGCTTGGCAGGCATTAGTGAGGTGTCTACCCTCCTATCCATGCTTTGTTTGGACGCCTTGGACCAAAATATGCCTATTATAAGCAGCTTGCTTGTGCAAAGCATCTGACGGCATCACTATCAGCACACCTTGTCCCGAGGCCTTGTCCCGGAAGAGCCGAAGAAGCCTCTACGCCTGGCGCCCTGGGAGCTCCCCGCCAAGCCAAGGCGAAGCTCCATGGAACAGGCAGATCCCGATGCCAAAGGGATAGGGTCTAGGTTTAAAACTACAAAACATGAGCTTAAACATGTGGCTTCCTTTTGGAAGCCGCGCTTCTACTTCCGGCCCCTCAGATGTACTAATATCTGATACTGGTAGAACCCTTTCCTCGCTTACTCTTCATTTCCGGAAGAAGCTTGATTCCAGCTGCAGAGGTTTTGTCCATGTTTCGCATTCTTCAAAGCAAGTGCCCTGCGTCTCAAGAGGCTGTGCCGGCAGAAGCTGCTGTGCTGGATCCAGTGCCTGAAGAAGAAAGCCCCGAGCGCAGGGCCAGCATGGAGCCGACGTGAGCTAGAGAGGCAGCGTCGCGGTGAATTTCGCTGGATCAGACCCCTGCAGCCTATGTTGTGTAGAATTCAAGCGTGTGCGCAGCGTGCCTGTCAAGTCTAACATTGAAGGAAAGCTATCATTTCTTGTGCAAGTGTCATGTTGTGTCATTCTGGCACGCATCGTAGGGTCCCAGAACTCAATCCGCAGAGCCGCCCATACAGATCGTCTGATGTTTGTTAAATTGTCTCGATAAGCATTTTCAATTGCATATGTTTTTTCCAGGGTGCCAGGGCAAGGAGAGGGCAAGAACTTTTGGGGGGACTCTGCTTGCCGCCACGGATATTGGTCTCCACTGGCCGGCGGCTTCGAGTGCATGGAGCAAAGGTAGCTCGTTCTGACCATGACTGAAACCAGATGGTCGTAGCGTATCCTGTTTCACTGGGTATGAAATGTTCCCCATCGTGCAGGCCTACAAGCTTCAAATGGTAGCGCCTGTGCTCCACCGCATAGATGTAGGCACATGTGCTACACCCACGCCCATGACACAATGATTCACAGTCATGGGGGGACGTGCTTCCCCAATGATGCTAGTAGAGAAGCAGAAAGTAGTCGTGGATTCTTGCGCAGCTATATCCCCGTGGATATGGATACATATATAAAGATATATATACATTATTTATATCTCTTCGGAGGGCTTTGGGGTTCACAGGGGAGTTGCAAAGCACAAGGAGATAAGCGTACCATATGCAGCCATATCTCACCAAAGCTTTAAAGGACTCTGAGGAGCCACGGTTCACTGTCATGGCAAATCCTGATGTTTTGTGGCCCCAGGCCTCACTTCCCAGCAACGTCGAGGCCACGATCGTGGAACACTTAGCCGGCGAAGCCTATGAGTCATTGGAAGACGTTTTCTGAAAGGATGCCAGGGTTTCGAAGCGAAATGACCTGGAATACTCACCAGGGCTCGAAGGTGGCAGAGTGGTTCCAGTGCTTTGGTCCAAGGACCAGCTGCGGACGTCCAGACCTTAGCACCATCGATTGGATGTGTCCCTCAGGGTTTTGCCAGGGAAAGCTTCTTGAAGCTGGTTGCCGTATGCATCTCCACATTGCCAGGCTGTCCTTGAGAAAACCGTTGGATGGCTACGAGGTCAGCAGCTTTGCTTGGCGCGCTTGTTTCCAAGTGTCGTCCATGCACCGACTATGTACGGACTACCAGCCAGCCGTCTGTGACTGTGAGGTTCCGAATGGGCAGCCGCCCACAAGGCCAATGACCAGAAGTCAGGCGGAGTGGGAAATATGCGGGTTTTTATAGGGTTCTACAGGAGCATATGTAGGGTTGTGTAAGGATGTATGGCAGGGCGGAGTTGGGACTTGGGATCACAGCGTGTCAGTCCTGAGGGACCCTGGCACTTATGTGATTCTTCTTCTTGGACTTGTTTTGATCACACTTTTACTTGTAGAAGCGCAGCCTCACTGTCTCCATTATAATTGGGTTATATAGGGTAATATAGGGGTTATATATTTGGGTTATATAGAGGTTATATGGGGGTTCTGTGAAGCTGCAGGATGCCAGTCCGGTCAAACAACAGCCTGCTGGTGCGGACTCGCCTTTCTCCACGAGCTCGAGGCAACGGTCGAACGGGCCTGAAACATTGCCACACGACGGGATGTGGAAGCTCCTTAGCATCCTCCGTACCATTGATTGCTGCAAGCTTCTCACGGACAGAACTGTCATGCTATTGCGTTGATGGGGCTAGAGGGGATGCCCGTGGCATGCGCTCAAAGTTTCCTTTGGTATACTGCAAGAAGTTGCCTTGTGTCAGCCGCAAACACGCAAATCCTTGGTAAACTGTCCTTTGGTACTGCAAGACGTTGCCTCGTGTCAGCCGCAAACACTCAAATCCTCGGTACAGCTGCAGGTTCTCGCCTCCAACAAGGGACAAGGAGCTCGGATCCAAGGGATCTGCATTGCTGTGGGGCATATGATGCCATGCATAAGTTTCCGGTTACTCTGCGCCCTGCAGCTCAGTGTACATAGTTGAGCTCGTGTATGTGCTTTCCAACCTTGGACTCCTCTAACTTGAAGTCCTGGTCTTGTTCAAAAGGACGAGCGTTGGTTCCAGTGATTTCTACGTCACACCACTTTAAAGCTTAGTCGAAACCAAGGCTCCGTTCTTCTGGACCTGGCACTGCTACTTCTGCTGAGGAGGCGGTAGGGCGTGCAACAAAAACACACAGTCTAGTCTTGTGTACGCCTGTTTGCTGGATGGAGTGGGCACTGAAAAGCCAGCCCTCAAAAGGATTCACGCATTTGGCGGAGGATCTTTCATGCTGTGCCTGTTCTGCTGTACCGGACCCTCATGTGCACGGTGTCGTGGGCATTTGGCAAAACCCTTTCTCAGCCACTTCAACTACCCCGCTCAGGACCTTCGGTGGCCACTCCAAAGACGAGCTGTCCGACTCAAGGCAGGCCAAGTGACTGGGCAGGAGTTGCAGCCACATGACTATGCATCAACTAATTTCTGCGCAGTCCACCTGTGCAGCCCCACATGTCAGGATGCTGTGCCTGAGCATCTGCGGAAGTAAGGGCGGCGAAGCAAGCAAGGGGGAAATGGTGATGAACTCGATCCTTAGCTTTCGATGCCACCTTGATTGAAGAACATCGAAGACAAGCAAGCAGCGGCGACAGCGTGAAATTTAGAGAGCCAGCACTAGCAAAAAAACAGCTGTGGCAGCAGCACCAGCAACAGCACCAGAATCAGCAGCAATCCTAAAAATGAATCGCAGAGCAGAGCAGCGTAGGGCGCAGAGCCTATGATAGACCCAGAATTCACAGCATGGAGAAATGTTGCATGCGCAATTATGCTCACACGCAACTCCATGACAAGCAACTCCTGAACAGTCAGGGTTCATATGCTGCATTTCCAGTGCCAGAGAAGTCATAGTAGTACTACTCTGGTAAACACTGGTACACGGAAGGGAGAACTTCAATGACGGTCTTTGTGCTGGTGGTGTCTGTGGTGCAAGTAGCAGCAGATGCCGAGGACTAATTGAGAACAAGACGAAGAAAGAAGAGTAGCACAATAGTTGCAAGAACGAAAGATCATGGCCAACAGCAGTACCAGCACTAGGCTGAAGTGCAGGTGCAAAGGTGCCAGGAAAAATCACCGCCGTTTGACCATGGACTGTTTTGTCACTTGTCAGGGCGAGATTGATACCTGCGAGTACGAAGTCCAGACTCTTCGGTGCGGGACTTTGACAGCAAGACTAGCAAAGTTTTGTTAAGGTTAAAAATGTTCTTGCTACAAGTTTGACGTTCAGCTGTAAAATTCAGAAACTGCTGATTCTCACGCCGAGTGTCCAAAATGCCTGCTTCGAAACAGTTGTTTTCGTGTCCATGTGTGCAGGCATCGCCTGTCGAGACTGCAAAGCATGTTGCAGGGAAAGGCCTGTAAAGTAGGGCTTAGGGCTCAAGGTTTAGGGCTTAGGGTTGTTTGATACATTCCGCTGGCAATTGGGGGTCTGCAGGGGATGATAGATACCCATACGGACGTTTGGTCTGGAATGTGGCGTGGCGCCTCCATTCCATACCCCTTCCCATGCTAGAGTGCGAATTTCGTTCCATGCCCTGTTACTCCTTCAATGCCCGCTCCAGACAACGAACATGTATGTCAGACTTCCATGATATGGCCATGCTCACAGAGAGGCCTTGTTCCAGAGTGTCTGGATCAAAACCGATGATGTGGGGCCTCCACGGCCCCCGCTTTTCAATACACTTCCAAACAACAAACCTGTTGCTCTATGTCCATGGATGCATGCTTGTTCCTGTCTACGGGGAGGGGCTCCTATACTGCTGCAGGACCTTGCGTTGTGCGCAACGGGGGCTTGCTGGTTGCATGTAGTCGTCTGCCGGCTGCACAGACAGAATCTGGGGATGCGCGCGCGGTCTCATGAAGACACATGTATTTCGAATCTTGCTGTCGGGATACTGCATGCCCTTGTGTTTGGTAGTGTGCCTGGTAGTGGCGTTCAGCATAGGATCCGGCAATGATCGCCACAAACGAAATTGTCAGAAGGTAAGTCAGGCAGCCAGAACATTAGAAGCGGGAAGGTAAAGCTATTGGTCGGTTTTCACAGCTTTCAACACGAAATTTGATGCTGGAGGCATGCGAGCCAAATGACTCTATCAGCAATGAATGCTATGCAAAAGGTTGGCGGTACCAACAGCTCTGTCATGATGGGCACAGTGACGATTGAGCAGGTCAAAGAGTCAAAGAAATTGAAGATCAGATTCAGCCTGAGTTCGTGATTGAGCTTGCCAAAGCTAGTTCCTCAAGATCCTGACCCAAACAAAGTTCATGCCCTTGCCCTTGTGCCAATGCGCAGGAACAGCGGCGAGCGCAGTGGGAGAAGCAGGCATGTCGCAAGGACCTGCATCATGTGCTTGAAAGTTCGTCCAGAACAGTAGCTTTCAGCGTTATGGTTGTTATTCCTATCTGCTATCATTCCCCCCAACTCGTCATAGCCACCACAGTCAGTGCTTCAGTCACCTCGTTGACCTTTGCAGTTAATAGTACAACGTTTGGATTTGCACCTGGAACTCCTAGAAATTGTTGTATGATGGGGCTTCCAAAGCCTTACAATGAGGGGCTATAGTATATTTGCGTCCACATTGGGCCCCCCAATCTATGAAAAACTCTTGCCTCCTAGATACTACTATATAATATCCATTTGCCCTTCCATGAGTGTTTCCCACTATTCAGGTAGTATCTTTGCATTTTGAATCCGAAAGCAGATTCATGGAAATTGCCTGTATGCGTATATAGATATGGGTCCTTACATAATCCCTACATTAGTATAATACATAGCCATATAGAAATAGGGATATACACATATATACATATAGATACATATGTATATGTATATGTATCAAGGACTGGGGCGATGTCGACGACGTGCGCCCTGGGGCCGGGCCTTGCTTCTTCGCTTGGCAGGCAGGTCGGTGGCCTCAACCCGAGCC